TCTCACCAAAAAAGCAACTACTCGTGGATGCACCAGCGTTCCCAGCAAAAGACTGTTTTGCTCCAGTAACAGCTTACAAGGCGTATTACAGACCACTGCACTGCATGCCATCCTTGCTACATAATAAAACCGAAATTCAGCACTTCGGCCATGAACTGTCTACGCCTCTTGTGAAACAACAGCGTTGACTCTGGGTCATTTAAGGTGGCGAGGAAGTAGCCTTCTTTAGCAAACTTTTCAAATCAATTTCCTGTGCGCAATGAGTGGCAACTCCCTCCATTCCCTCAAGACAACAACAGTCACGACAGTGATGGGAAAACGAAAACTTTCAAACCTCATCATAGCCTACGCAAACGGCAACGGTAGCAAGTGAAGTACGGTCAAGTTTGTATGCTAGTCGGAAGAACACTGCAACCCATTTGTTATGTTCACTCTGGACAGTACAACATTGGGAATTTGACTCCCCTAAGAAATTATAAGCAATGCAGGAACGCAGAGCGGGTGGAAACCAGATGATCATCCACAGCTGCACTTGGCGTATGGTTTCGCCTCAACAGCAACTGGCTCTTTTGCACTGTCAGCCCGAACAGCCCTGGATAACAAATTTATAAATCTCAATAACAATGCCTCATGCAGTTTCACATAAAGTTTTTGCACTTTTCAACCGCTATCTGTTGGTCTATCGGAAGCGCAAACAAACAAACAACCTCAAATTCAGCCGAATCAGGATTTACGCTGGTTGGGAATTTACGAATGAAACACGTATATGTGTCCACGCGATTTGCATTGCCCTTTTTTCGCTTCCTTTGCCGCTCCGATTGTACATCAACTGAGAATTGCAGTGATGAAGACGTTAAATTAAACATTGTAAACGTCGCATTCGAGCACATTTTTGAAGGATCAGACGGCTTCTTGAATGCGCATACAAGCGACGCAAAAAAATTACGTCGCCTGCGCAGGCCGTCTATTCTGCAAAAAATGTTGTTAGAAGCGAAATCAGAACTATACTGAATTCGTAACTTACAGAAACAATTAGCCAGCGCACCGACTGTCGTTACGAAAATGCGCTCTTTGCACAGTTCCCCAGCAAGTTTTAGTTGCTAGCGGTATTGTTTTTTCTGACAGCTGCTTCAATTAAAACTGAAACTGACCAATACGAATAATGTCAGAAATTATTACAGTGAGAATAATGTCAGATTCCCAGTCCATGCTCAAAAAAAGGAACACTCCAAGTACTCTGGTTACAAAGTTACGTCAAATTTCATGTGCCCGCACGTGAGACATGCATGCGATATGAAGGGAACGCGAAAGTTGTTTTCACGCCCAACTAGCCGAAGGCCGCCGTCCGCCACATTCAGAAAGTTCCAATCCTCTAACTGTTTCAGTTTTGAAGTTATAAAACTCCCTACGTAAAATTTCACGTGTCCGTACGTGAGATGCAGAGGAGCTGGGGAGCTCAATTTGCTTTCATGAGCAAGCAAAACCGCAAAAATTTCAACTCTCCACAAATTCTTGATCAGCCGGATTCCCGAATTAAAAATTTATTGATTTTAAAGTGGCAAATTTTTTTTAAAGTGACATCTCAGCAGTGAATAAAATTTATTGATTGAAATAAAAACCATTAGAATCAACACATTTTTGCCAACACGCTACGAGCTTGCTTATTCCGGTTGCATAAAAATCTGGACTTCTGGGGGCAATGAAGTCACCGAAGGCAGCTTCGGCATCGACTTGATTTCTGAAGCATTTCCCTCACAGAAAATTGTCGAGATGCTTGAAGTGAAAGTCGGCAAGAGAAAGGTCTGGTGAGCATAGTGGATGAGGCAGGGTTTCGTAGTCCAGCTCGTTCAACCGCTGCACTGCCGCAAGTGCGACGTGTGGTCGCGCGCTGTCATGAAGCAGGATTGGTACCTTTCTGTTGACCAATGCAGGGCGCAGCCGTTGAAGTCTTTGGTGCATCTCATTTATTTGCTGGACGTACGTCTGCGCCGTAATCGTTCCACCCGGATTCAGGAAGCTGTGATGGATTGAGCCAGCAGCAGACCACCAGACAGCCAGCATGACCTTTGGGTGAAGTTCCGGCTTTGGAAAGTGCTGCGGGGCTTCGTCGCGGTTCAACCATCAAACTGACCGTCGCCGATTAACCATACAGGATCCATTTCTCGTTACACGTCATAATACGGTCGAGAAACGGGTCGTCCTGATTGCGCAGAATAAGCGTCAGCGAAACCTCAAAACGACACTTTCTTTGGTCATCGTTCAATTTGTGCGGCACCCATTTGTCGAGCTTCTTCGTCTTTCCAATCTTCTTTAGATGCCCCGAAACAGTTGAAATGCTTGCCCCGAATACTCTTGCAAGCCCTCGGACAGTTGTGTACGTGTGTCTTTACCACCGCCTTCAATTCGCCGTCATCAATAACAGAGGGACGTCCGCAACGCTCATCATCTTCAAGGTCGAATTCACCACGTTGAAATTTTTCAAACCACTATGCGTTCGCTAACACTTCCCTGGCCCCATACCACATTAATATTTCGAGTTGTTTACGCTGCACTACGGCCAAGCTTGAATTCGTAAAAACAAATTTGTCGAAATTGCTGTTTTGACATCTGAAACTGTAACCTTCGGAATTTGTCAAAAACACAGTTTTTATTACAACCCATATGCGCCTCGAAAGTGCGTAAAATGAACTTTTCAAAAACATGCAACATGACGGTAACCGAAAAGGCACTCTCCCTGGAAAATCGTACAAAGAAAACTACATTTCAAAACGGACATTACTTTCCGAACAACCTGATAACACGATGCCAACTCAAACTTTGACGTGTACGTACGTAAGACCTAGGGTTGCGCGAAAGCTGAATTTAATGTCCTTGGATTGGACGTGGGCATGGAACATCTTCGTGAAGTTTCAGCCTTCTAGCTCGCATAGTTCCCGAAATCACTTTTCTGCTGCAAAATCTTTCACGCGCCCATATGTGAGGACCAAGCGCACCTGACTGTTCATTTTGAGGATAGAAGCCCGCGCTTAGGTGTAGATCAAGTTGCCGAAGTTCCAGCCCTGTAATTTTTGTAAGTCTCGAGATGAAAACTTGGTACAGACGTACACAGAGACACAGACTGAGGTAGACAGACACACAATCAGAACGCCTTGACAATATATGTTTTTGCAATGAATAGGTGCAAAAAATGCATAAAGGTTTGAAATCAGAACACCATTCACATGCATTACTACCAAAATTGGTAAGTTCTTCCACCTAGGATAATGCTCCACCTGGAAACTACAGCCATTTGTACGTAAATTACTCTTTTCTAAATCACAAACCCAGGTTGCGAAGCACCAGCCCTGTCGGTGCGAGTATCCATTTTCTGTACAGTTTCCTCCATACATGCTTGTAGCTAAATAGCTCTGGCTTTTGCGGGAAGTTAGACAGACAAATTGAGAACAGCCACCATTTTTTCACAATTATCATAAACACAACTGCGGGATACGCCCAGAAAATTACAGCATTTTATAGTTAACTTGGTTGCCAGAGCTATGTCAAATTTCGCGTATTTTTATGTGGGACGAAACGTGAATGTTGTTTTTGAGTGCCCTTGCTCCTGCATGACCCTGAGCCGTGCTCCAGGCTTTGGTTGCAGAGTTACTCAAAATCTTATACGGTCGTACGCGAGACTATACGAGACGCAAAAGGAACGTGGAAGCGGCTTTCATATGACTTGCCTAAGCGTGATCATCGGCCATGCTCATATTATAGTTCGCACCAGCTTTCTATGTAGACTAGATCTGGCGCTAGCACAACGCCAAAAAAATTTTGAACTTTTCTTTAGTATGCCTGACCTTGAAATTACTTTCCCGCCGGAAAATCTCGCGCGTACCCGCATATGAGTGCCAAGAGAAAGTGAATGCCCATTTCACACTCAAGGAACCGTACACAGGTGTAGCTGTGTTGCCAACATTTTAGCTTTATAGTTTTCATAGGTCTGAGGATGAATGCTACAAGGCTAAAACTTTGGCAACTTGGGCTACACCCATGAACGGGTCTCCTGGGCGTAAAATGATCGTTCACTTCTTGTTCCCACGTGTGGATATCTGAAATATTTATTAGTGAGAAATCGGTTTCAACAATCACGCAAAAAGGCCGAAGTTTTGAAATGTCCCCTGCTCACGTGTGATCAAAAGAATTCAAATTCAGCCTTCCACGCAACCCTTAGACTCATGTATGTACACGTCAGCCTAAATTGGGATCACGCTAAGTCGAGAACTACGCTAAGCAGGAACCGCAGATAGCTGTAATTTTATAACTTTGTTTGCCGTTCACTGATGTGCCCATGAAAGTAAATTAAGCTTTTAAGTCCCTCTGCATCTCACGTAAGAGCAAATTTGAAGCAGACAATTTTGCAAATTCGCAACTAAAGCGGCTCGAGGGCTGAAATTTCCTGACCGCCGCCAACGGACCAGTTTGGACAGGGAGATGTGAAAAAAACTTTCATGCTCCTTTTGTTCCTCAGGTACGAATCCGCGAAGTTTGACATTACTCCGCGACCAAAACAGCTAGAATGTTGAAATTTCCCGAGCATGGCCAAGGGCCGTGGTTGTGCAGGCACACACAAGAATAAAATCCACGCTTCCACCACATACGACGGCGTAAAATTTGACGTTACTTTGCAACCGAAGCAGCTCGGATGCTGAAATCCTCTGAACATGGCCCTAGACTATGCCTGGGCAGGAGCGTGAAAAAAGAACATCCATATTTTCTCCTCGCGTACAACCACGTGAAATTTGACTAACTCTGAAGTTAGAGCAGATGGAGTGCCAAAAACAAACGGCATTCACGGCAATGCCGACTATGCAGTCCCTTTTCCTGATAATGGCTTTGACTGCTTTCATCACAGTTGCTGGCCCATAGAGAATCAAAGCATCGTAGCTTGTGTGCGAATAAATCTCTTTACAACAAAAAATCTGTACCAACAGTAACATCTTTAGCTTCTCTAAAGACTGTTTTCTGCGACTGTTTCTGTTCCCCTAAGTAGAGATTTGGCGAATTTTGCTAAAAACACATATTTGCCTAGCTTAATTTAAAAAAAATGTTTCCTCTGTGCACTTTTGAATACTGCTTTTCGAACTTCCCGTTATCATTTTTCATTCAACTTTCATATGGCTGTTGTGAAAACAAAACAAAAATCACATTTCTGACTGTAATGTATGTATCTACTTGTTACCAGCAAGTAGCTTCCTTACAGCTATTCATATTAGGGACAATTCTGAGGAAAGCAATGCAAGAAACGCATCTTCGCACTGGCCGTCGGTGCGATGGCAGCTAAGTGCGCACGGCACGGATGCAAAAAACGCATAAAAAAATGAACGCGGTTTAAACCTGCATCTTATGCATGAATGCTAGTTCGCCATCAATACGTTATTAACAACAGAACGGTTTCCAGCGACATGCTTTGTGCCTAGACTGCAGCGAGTGAGCCACGCGACAAAAAAGCACTACGCTGCAGTTCAATGAAGCATATCACCAAGATTACCAAAAACAAACCTGAGAATGAGATCAACCTTAGTGCCGGTATCACGTGAAACAGATACCCCCACATTACGCACACCGCTACTGGATGATTCAGATTCCTCGCTCTCAGACATTTGTCATGCTTTCTGCAAACAACTTTTCCAATCAACAATGTGCACACTTATAAGCGGAGCATATCTGAACAAGTAGAATGCACTGAGTGAAAAAAGGGCAAAAAATAAAGCATTTCGACACCACAAAATGAAGCATTTTCCCATGAAATATCCGAGCAAGTGTTGTTAGAGTTTAATAACCTCGACTTTTTCTCTCACCCTCCTGATTTTGCATTGTAATAAGCGCCTTCTATCAACAAGCTTCTGTGTAACTCCCATTTTCTCTTCAATCTTACCCGATAAAACAAGAAAAAGCGGAGTTGCCCAATAAAATTAATTAGAGTTAAAATGAGACAAAGGAATTCTGCACCTTCCTAGATTTTTCATAACTGGAACGCAGAATTCCGATTCAAGGTCAAACAAAACAGTTAACTTCGTTTAAAAATAGGCAGCAGCTTACACTTCACCACTACATCAGCTGAAAGAATTATACCTCACTGGGGATTCTACCTCACACAATCAGAAATCAGGTAAAAACGCGCGCCACAATTTCCCGTGCGATCGTGCGTTCTTCAGCCTTAAATTTGCCATATTCCTGTGTAAGATGTTAGCGCGCAAA